TGGGCACATCTGGGCCAACTTTAGGCACAGGCCTACCAGTACTCACTTTGGACATGGGCACATCTGGGCCAACTTTAGGCACAGGCCTACCAGTACTCACTTTGGACATGGGCCCACAAAGAGATGACTTTGAACACAGGCCCAGCTCGAATTGTTTTCAACAGCGACCCACAAGGACATACTTTGGAAGAGGCCTTTCAAGAACAACTTTTGACACAGGCCCTTGATGACCGACTTTGGACAAAGGCCTAAATAGACAAGTTAGACAGTATCCACCTAGAACCCCAAGGCCTGACTTGATGGTAGCATAAATCACTCTTAATCTCTTAGGTAGAGGAGACAAACAGTTTTATGTTCTAACCCGAACACTGTGGCCAGCATCAATCTGTCCTCCTGTTTAGATTTATTGTGGGTTCTTCCATTACACCTAATAAGGTCATACTGATCGTTACTTCCTACCAAGGCAGATGCTGCCATTCGCTGGAGGTACTGTTTGATGGCAGTGTCTGTAGGAGCAAACACGGTGAACTCATCAGCCTGCTCAATCTCCTGGGTCAGGTTGTAATCCTACACACAAAAAAAATCTACAGTCAAAGACCTGCAGAAACAGGCTGCATAGAGTGTGTATGTGTGTTTCCGTACAATAAGATAAGATCTGAAGAGGGAGAACTCCGGCCTCAAAGCGAGCACTGCCAGCAGACCTTCACTTCTCTCAGGAAGCAGAACCTGAGGACCGGATCAGAACTATGACTGTGGTGGAAAGACAGTTGAGGTAGTTGCATCGAACTGCTCGTTACCTTATCAATAAGGTGGATCACTCCATTGGTGGCGGGTCCGTCGGAGGTAACGATGGATGCTCCTCCAACAGATGTGATCTGACAGAACAAAGACACAAGATTACTAGACTTCATGTGTCCAAATGTTCTGAGTGATACTGAGCAAAAGAAAGGCAGAATCTGGGATGGTAGCATTACCAGCCCTTCCATTCTTACCTCCTGGCTTGTTGAAACAGGAAGAGTTGTTGACAGAAGGGAAGTCAGTGAGGAGGTCTTTCTTAGTGTGGATAAGGAAAAGATGCCTGGAACAATGTGGTTTCTGAAGGACACATCAAATATCAGATGTCACATCTCCAACCTCTAACCTCCAACTCTCATTGGGAGCAAACCTGATTAGGCTCGGCAGGTTCCCTTTCGATGTCCAGAAGCTTCTTTCCTCAGAGGACATCTTAGCGACTGCAGCAGATGTCGGAACCAGAAGTGTCAGGTTCTGATCTGACAAAGATCCAGAAAGGCCGGAGTCCTAAATGGGTGAGAAGAACATAGACCAGCTTGTTCCCTGGAAGACTTTCAAGCCTCAAACCACATCAAAATGCTAAGTTGAAACAGTTTTTAAAGTTCCCGGGGAACATCTGACCAGACGTTCCCAAAACATGCATGACATTCCATGCACTCAAAGCTCTCATTTGGCTCTGAATTTGAGATGATATGAGGTATTGAATCTAGGGCCTTGGCACTTAACAGATCAGAAACAGACAGAAGTGCATCAGACTGTGATGAAGGAGCTAGAGAAGATTCTCAGTAATCCAGGTAATAGTCATTCCATAAAAAAAAAGAGAATTAAAAAAAACAATCCACTGGACTTTGTTTCCAAGTTGAAGACGTTTCGCTTCCCATCCAAGAAACCTTTTCAATTCAAAATGTCAGGAATGGCATTGAGTTTGAGGTTTTATACAGTAGCCCATTAAAAAGGACAAAGGACATTCTTTTGAGGAGCAGAATGTTCATATTTTGGACAAAGAGAATAGGTGATTTGAGATGGGCGTGAAGGAAGCCATGTTAAGAAAGAAAAAACAACCTCTAACAGAGGGGGTGGAAACCTATAATGCAGCGATTAAGTTGATACCTTCCCACTATCATTACAACCCCTTAACAGGAGAGTAGAAGACTTCGCCTATTCAGTTAGGCCAACAATTCCTTTTAACAACCCCCTTTGAGAAATAGACAGGTATGGGGCATTACAGGCTAACAAAGAAGCCAAAAAAAAAAACCCATTCCAAAGGGGTGGACCTGTTTTTTCGTTTCATTTTGCATGTTTTCAAAACAAAAACAACATTTTGTTGGGCTACCTCAAACGCTATTGTTGACATTTTGAATTGAAAAAGCTTCCTGGAAGGGAAGCAAAATGTCTTCAAACTTGGAAACAAAGTCGAGTGGATTGTTTTCAATTTCCTTTTTTTTGGTCTGATGAAGGAGTATTTCCTCTTCATTCTGTCTTTTTTTTCATCCGGTTCCTCAAAGAGAGACTTCTAAGGGTTCCAAACCCAGATCCAAACACTCTGCACCTTTCAAGCTCCTGTAGGGCAACACTGATGCCATAATCATACTAACCCATACCATGATACCTCCTTCAATCACAGAACCATGCTGCAGAGGCTGGTTGCTGTCAACAAGCTGGATGATCTTTCCCAAACTTCTGGAGGACGGATCCATCTGATCCATGTTCCCACTATGTGACGCCTCAAAGAGAACCAGGGTGACCCTGCTCCACGTGGTTCTACCAGCTGCTGAGAAATAATTGGTTTTGATGCAGAACTCCCAGAGGAATCAGATTACTGATATCCAGCTGAAGCAACTTCCTGAAGTTCCTCCAGACTCCTGCCTGGATGATTTAGGGAAGTTCTGCTCTGCAGAAGAGGAAACCTGGAGTTCCATTTGGATCTTTTTGAGGAACGTTTTCCTTTTTGTTATTTTTCCTATATTTGGTGTAAACTGGAAATCAACCTGTCTGAGACACAGATTCTTCAGAATCAGAAGACTGATCTTTGATTGGTTGTGTTCTGTTTTAACTGGAATAAATTTACTGCAGTCTGAATGTCTGGAAGGATCCTAACCACTAAGTTAAAGACCATTGCTTTAATCCATCTTAAAGAAACAGAAAAAGCAGAGAGTCTCTCCTTTGATTCGTTTCTTCTCAGAGACCCACTCACCCTTGTCCAGGTGAAGAAGTCCGGGGCATTACGTAGAGTCATCAGCTCCTGAAATCATCCGACAAACAAACTCAGACTGGATGGAACACTAAGGCGAGCTGAGGCAGATGAGGAAGAGCCGGTACCACTCACCTGTTCAACGTTACCAAAACATAGCGATCCATTTCCAACATATCCATCATCGCAGACACAGGTCCACTGAGAGTACAGCAGGAGACAGCGAGCCTGAGGATGAGAAACCCACCCAGAACACAACATTACTGTCTGCTGTGCAGCACTGATCAGTATCCTCCTAGAACCTGTGGTTCTGAGGTCCGACTGGAGACGATTAATCCTTACCCTGAAGTGACAGCCTCCTCCGGCCGTCACACACTGGTTGATGGGCTCACATATGTGTCCGTCCCCATGGTAGCCGCTCCTACAGGCGCAGTCGCTCTGCACACAAGAATAAGATTCTGTTCAGAACTTTTAAGGAATCTGTTGATCTGCTGTTATAAGCATAATTTTATTGAGCTTTACTGTTCCATAAAGGTTCTCTCCAACGCTAACCAACCTCTGCCTATGGAAAGAATTTCATGGTTTGGAATAATAGAGAGAACTGGTTAGAAATGGGCCAAAAAATGACAAAAAATGGTTCTGAAACAGTCTCTCAAACTCATCAGACTGGCTCTGATACTGGTACCATGTTTAGCTGTATCTCTGGTGCTGGTTGACAGAAAGTAAGAGAACTTCAGCTGTAAAACGGATCAGCTCTTTCTGCTGTGTCCAGCATTTCTTCTCAGAACTTTAAAAGTGTGAACTCTTTGGCAAGTCAATTTTGACTCAAAATTTTCTCCAAAGATTACAAATCAGAATCTTCTGAAGGGCTGACTTGTTTAGATCATTGCGGGAACATTGTTGTTGTTCCTGAAAGTGGCGGCTGGCCCATTGGGGTTGGTCAGGCGCTGCCCTCTCTAGATGTGGAGGGGAAAACTCATAAACAATATATAGAGATTTTAAAAGTTATATCAATGTCAATTTTACTTAATAGAATATGTAATATGAATTATTAAAACAACACTTCTACCAACTGACTCTAATTCAACAGTGCATTTCCACAGACAGAACGTATGATTTCTCTTCTTGGGTGCTCATTCAAGTGTAGCAAAATAACCAATTGTATAATGTTGCTAGGGAAAATTAATAAATATTTGGCCAATCAGCATCGCAAAACTAAAGGCTTCGGGGCTCCTGGAATTTTTTGCCCCTGCTACAGTGATATAGGTGATGGAGCCAGTAGTCAGTCAGAGTGAGGTAGAGATTATGGCGCCGACGACAGTTGAACTTGAAGAGCAGCTTTCACGCAATTCAGTGAGATCTTTACTGAGTTACCCTTTCAGGAGAAGGACGATGGTGAAAAAAAAAATACACGCAAAGGAGGTGGGACCTGACAAGCCTGAAATAAATGTAATACAGCAAACCGAGGAAAAAGCCAGATCCTAAAACCGGACTTATAGCAGGAGTTGGTTCGTGGCTGTTCGTGTGGAACAGCTAATGCACTTTTTTTGTTTCCCCTACATACTTTTTAAAAGTGCCAGGAGTGATTTGACGTGGACACAGTCTGGACAGGCAGACTTAAAACACCTCTACGACTGGTTGGACTGATTTAAAGCACTTTTTAGAAAAGGCAAAGAAGAATGAACAATCTGGAATTCACATGGAAAATAATGTAATATAGTGTATTTTTTCTAGATGTTTGTTCTTTTGCAACCAAAAATGAACTCTCGAATTAAAAAATTATAAAGCTGACTAATAGATTTTCCATTATTAAACTGGTTCATTATTTTTTTTAGGTCTGTGACACAATATTGAACCTGTAAAACACAGATTTAGCTTCACAAAGCCTCCTAAGGCAAAATGTATGTACAAAAAGTAAACCTGTACACAAATTTATCTTTTGTTATTATACAGTTTTTATCATGTTTTATAAAGTTTTCTGAACTCAGATAATAATCTGCAGCTCGTTGAGAATAACATCCATTATCGGGCTGGTGCGTTTTCCTGCAGCAAGCCATTCATCAGACCTTTGGAACAGCGCTCTCTACCTGTCCAGGTCCGACATAGATGCAGGAGGCATTGGTGTGGCAGCCTCCTCTGTCAGGACCATCACAGTTGTTTATTGGTCGACACTCGTCTCCATCCGCTGTCCAGCCGGTCAGACACCGACAGGTGTGAGTACCTGGGCCTGTCCTTATACATTTAGCCTGGAGGGGGCGGCATGGAGCACAGAGTCAGGCACCAAAAAAGGCAGAAATGGACCAGAACACATCAGGAACTTACATTTATACTGCAGCCACCTCTGAGAGGTGGAGCACAGGGGTCAGACTCCACACAGGTGATGCCGTCGCCTTGGAAACCAGGTTTACAGACACACCTGATCAATGGGAGAACATCTGGTTAGACTAAAGCATGTTTACCAGCACCCTTTGCATGAATGCACCGAAGATCAAGATGGAGGCCCTGATTTCTGAACTTGGACAAAGTTCTAACATTTTTCAATGATGACAGGTGAGTTAGGGGCTTCCTCCTGTGTAAACCACTTGTATTATTGGGATGTATTTCAATGTAAAACATCAGAGAAAGGCCCACTAGTGTTTTGGCCGCCTCAAACTTGGTAGTTTTTATTATAAAAAGGGAATTGTTTGTCAAACCAGAACTTTATGAGCAAAATCCCCTTTATCTACACCCAGGTCATGTTGTGTCCCTGCGACTTAGCAGCCGAGCAACCATGCAGGTACGTTCACCTGGGGGATCCATTACTGAAGTCGCAGTCGGCTTGCGCGTGGCAGAACAGTGACAGGCTTCCACAGAGAGAAGTCCGTCGCTCACAGAACCAACCGGTGAAACCCTGAAGACACGAGTCTCTGTGGCATCGTCCGTCTGACTCTGGACGGTTGTTGCACTGTCCGTGGATGCAGGGACAGGCTGTGGATGTACGAGTGAGCTTTGACACAAGTAACAGATCTAAACAAGACAACAAAGACCACAGGACCTACTTCTGTCGCAGTTTGGACCGTGTTTGTTGGAGGATGAGCAATACTGACAGCGAGAGCCACTGAAGTTTGGTTTACAGATACACGTCCCATTTCCTCCAATGCCCTCCATGCACTGAGGAGAAACAAACTGGCTCAAACCATTCCCAAACACTATGTTTTTCTCCAGCTTTTTGGTGGTGGAACTTTACCTGGCCACGTCCTGAGCAGGGGGTCTGAAAGCCACCAGGACAGGGACTGCAGTCTGGACCATAGAAACCTTTACAGCAAGCTGGAGTCTGAAAACAGAGAAGCAACACTCATTGAATGTTTGTGCACACCTGAAGTGCTTTGCCTAACAGACATTCCTCAGGGCATAAGTGAGACCTAGGAAGGCAGTTGTTGTAATTCTGCAAGTTGTGTGAGAGACTCATGCTGCAGAGAATTGAGGACCCATTGACAAATACAGAAGAGGCAGCCGGTAATGAACTATTATTTATTAATCCTGCTGCCGCTGCTGAGTTTAATCTAGGATGTGTGTTGTGAATGGAGCTCAATTGGTTTGTGCACCTGGACTTTAAATATT